TTTTCTTCACAGATGCTGCCAAACCTGCTGAGCTTTTCCAGCAACTTCTGTTTATGTTCCTGATTTAGAGCATCTGCAGTTCTTTCGATTTTTATTTACACAATAACTAATACTTAATTTTTTGTTCTTGATAGGTGTGAGAAAGAACCATGAGATTAAGCTATTGACTTCAGTGATGTTAGGTGCTGATAATTTTGTTCATTTGTGTTCTTGCATTTTGATCTGTTTTTCCACTTGACAATTTTATTGCATATAATTGTTGAATGTTTTTTTTAAATCAGAATAGTATCCCCTTAAAAGCAAGCATAAAAATAAAAATAATGACATTTCTTCATTATTAGCCAGTTAGGCCATGATAAATCCACAACATAATCCCCGCGTCATATTAAATATACTTACAATAGTACCACCAAAATCTTTTGTTCCAGTCGTGTCGATCAGTTTGATGTACTACATACTCATCCAGTATTGCTTTCTGGCAGTTTTCTCCACTATTGTGTGTTGTCTGTTTTTAAGAAGATTTAGAACAACCTATTAATTGTACTGGTGGAGCATTCAAGCATTTGCCCTCAGTGGTCTCCATGGAACAGATTTTCCTGCTTTTCATCCAAGTCACCAAACTTTGAAAAGTCAAGATCTCCCTTTGGAGGGAAACGAACTAGCATAAATAGCAAACCAGCTCTGTAAAATCTGTTCATTATCTATCAGTTGGCCCCAAAGTAAAAATTAATCCCTTCTAGAGCCAAGTTTATGGCACACACTGCCCAGCAGTCCTGGCTGACAGGAGCAAAATCATGCAAAGTGGGAAGCCAGTTAATATGAATTTAAAGTGAGAGAATGAAAATATGCAATACTTCATCTTTGCAAAAGAGTAAAATCTTTAACTTCTTTCCATTGCTTTAAACCCTGCTAATCAAAACAGATGGAAAGGTTCATCTTTGGTTGAATAACATGGAAATATATATTTATGCAGTTCAGAGTTGATGTTGGATCTCTTGGTATACATATGAATTAGATGGAAAGATAGGTTGGGCTTTCAATCTAATTTCCTGTTCAGAAAATTTGCAATGTGACAAATATCAATCTGTGAACAAAGAAAGCTTAATTACCCAATATAAAGGGCAGTTAACTAAATAAGTCCCTTACATGATAGGATGTCAATGAGGAACATTTTTTAAATTTTGGAACCAGGCCAAGCTGTGTGATATTCTGAGATCAATTAAACTCTCCCAAGCTTTAGTGAAACACAAAAAAGGAGAGTCAAAATCTTTTGATGGTTACTGTTGTATTGCCCAATTGTGCATGTTCTACATTCTGTTACTTCATTTGATGCTTCTGAAGTGGTGCATATGCAGGAAATTCGCATTGATTTTTGTGTATTTTTATTTGTATACAAATGTAAAATGTTTAAATACACACTTATGAATAGAGGTAACTTATCATAACCAATACTAATACCTGAAGGATTTTAACTTTTATAATCCCTGTACAGTGTGTTTTCTGGACTGTTGCTTTGAAAAATGTGCTATAGATGGTGCACACATTTCGTTGTTAGCAGTATCCAAATTACGTAACAATATCCCACAGTTGGTGAACAGTTGTTTTTTTGATTGGGGTAAAGTAGGAGTTCACACTCCTCAAATGTAGAGCACTGTTTGAGGTGATACCATGATGCAGTAGTTTCACAAATCCCAGCGTGGTGTTCCTTGATTAGAGGATGCATAGTGTGAAGGAAAAGTACAATTCCTGTTAGAGAGAATAGTCAACAGGTGCTTTGGCCACAGTATCCTGTACTCCCACAGTAGCAGTCATATCCAGAATAGTTTGTCAAGACCTTAATACCAACTGGTCAAGGGGCAGGGATGATGAGTGATCTGCTTCAAAACCGTTACCATTTCCATTGGTGTCAGACATTTAGATGAAGACTAGCACATGCATTGTGAGATAAACTCAAATGTTCTTTTTTCTATGAGACATTAGTTGTCTGAATTTCTTGAATGGCATTCAGCCACAAACAATAATGACAATAATCAGTTAATTTGTTTCACTTGGTATTGGGAAGTGGGGGGGTTGGTTGAAAAAGTAATATAGACCGGAGCATTTGGAGAGCTTCTTTCCTCACTTATTTCCTACATGTTTTCTTAACGTTTCTGTCAGGTCTTGAACATGCAGCATTACATTATCAACAATCCCCTGACATACACCTCAGAAACACATGCCAACCTTTTCCCACCCTTTTGAGGCGGAAGACGGATCCTTTGGTTAACATCTTATCCTAAAGGTGATAGCTCTGATGATCACATGCTCCCTCCATTTTGGTCTAAATAGTATGCTTATTTCCCTGGAGTGAAGGCTTATACTTTCTGTTACTAGTGAACCAAGCTGACATTTGCTGAAATATGCATTTTTAATATCAATTTGTCAAGTGCACTTTGACACAAAGTGCATTCAGGATCCAGAAAAATAACATCCAAAAATGAAACACACTCTTGTTGAACACATTGTATGTTGATATAGCAAGGAACCTGATAGAAGGTAGTGGTTTAAATAGCCATATTACTGAATAATTTATGTCCTGAATGTGGAACATCTTAAATAACAAGTATCTTTATATTCAGTGTTACTATGATAATGGCAATATGGGTCCACAGAGTTGGAACAGTGCAACTTTGAGTTTCATGACATACAAAGGGTTTTGAGACACTAATTTATAATCAATCAGATGGCACCCAGTGTACAGTCAGACAAATATGAAGAAAGACATTGAAAAATTGATTTTTCATTAGAACAGAAGCAATTGAGGTGCTTTGGAACACTTCTTTAAAATTGAGGGAATGGGCAAAATATTTATAATTACATTATTTCCGGTGATTGAGGGGTCTGGCATAAGGGAGCACAGATTTACAGTCAAGGAAAGTTAGAACATGAAGCGGGCCAGACATGTCAGATACATAGAGAAATGTATCATTACGAAGACTGTCAAAGTTGAAGAATTTGTTGGTTAAGTAGTTGAAAAAAGGGAGTGAAGAGATATGAAAATGGTTCCCAATAAGTGGTTAATACTATCTCAAATACTGTGGATGCTGGAGAACTGAATTAAAAACAAATTACTGGGGAAGTTCATCAGGTCTGGCAACATCTGTGGAGAGACAATCATGCCTCCTGTTGGGTGGTGTCAATATTTTGACACCACAACGGAAAACTTCTGTCTGCAGCAGTAAAAGTAGTGACCAGTGTTGATGGTGTATTAAATGGCCAGGAATTTGTGGTAGTAATGATTAAGCTGTTAGCATTCACCATCATTACTATTCTGAAACTGACAGCAATTCACGCAAAGGCAGTTAAATGTGGAAATCAAAAAGTTGTTGTCAGTGGTTCGATGTTTCTCCATAGTATGTTGCTAAAGCCCTTGTAAAATGAAACCCGTTAAAATCACTGACTAATGAGATTTTGCCTTGTTACACTGTTCTTGTGCTGTTAGAACCCTTGGAAAACGTGTCTTGTTGAATGAAGTCTAATTGGGTTTTTTAATGTCAACGGTGCTGTACTGAGTTCCCATCTGGCCTTGAAAAATGAGTTTTATATTTGTGGAAAGTTAAACTTACCCATTACGATTTATTTAAAAAATCTACATTCTTAAAATACTTTTATAATTTTTTTTCAGCTTCTATCTTCATATCACCTATATTTGACAATCACTTATTCTCTGTAAAATGGTACTTAAAAAGTGTAGGTTATACAGTACAAACTACTTTCTGGTTTACTGTTGCTACACACCTGGATATCCTGTTGACCTGGCACTAGATTCAAATTTAGTTTGTAAGATCTTTATGGGGCAGATTTTTTTCAAGTTCAGTAGCAAATGCTGTCACTTTGCTACAAACTGCAAAAGTCAGGCCATTGTTTGCATTGCTGTTGCTTTTTAAATAATTCTCTTCTTTTCTGAAGGCAGCAGTGCAGCCTCATTAGCTATGATGCTACCAAACTCAATAATTCCCATCTGTGGCAGAACTATGATGTAAAGGTCTATACAGGAGAATCTTGGAGCAAACATCACTACCATCCCTTTAATTAGTGCCATTGAATTTGAATACTGTGTTTGGGTTACAAGACAAGGTATCTCTTACTCTAGCATGATTGGGCTTAAATGGGCAACAGCTTAATTGACAGCAACTACTCATCTTTGCGTGGCACTTCTGATAAACTGAGAAGGATCAGAATAATTTGCAGATGGATAACAAAAACAGAAAGGAGAAAGGAGAATAATGGAAAGGCTGTGTATGGATAGGGGAGCAGACTGAAGGTACACAAACTAGAGAGGCTTTTGAGGAATATTTTTAAAGTTGAGAGGAATTTGACAAGTAGTCATGTCTTTTAACATTGTTCTGGTTAAAAGAAGTGCAGTGTCTCCAAGCTTCTGATATCATCCCAGGAAAGTTCTTCTGGATCCCCTTGGTATGCTTCCTATAAATGTATACTTTGGCTTTAGTACACTAACTGCAGCCTAGTAAATGATGTGTCTCATTAAGCATTCCCTTTGCTTTTGTATTGGCTGCCTTACTTACAAAATCAAAGATTTACATGGTTTCTACTTCTATATTTTTATTAACATCTGCCCACTTTAAAGATTTGTATTTCTGAATTCACGTCTCTGCTGTTTTATTCCTTTAAACGATTGCCATTCATTGTGAATTTTTTGGGGATCAAGCCTAGAATTTTTGGTATTTAAGTTTTCACTGCACTACATTTTAACACTGAACCATTTACAGTGAATTGTGAAACTCTCAGAATCATCACACTTTTGTAAGTATTTTTTGTATTCCTGTCATTTGCATAGATGCTCAACTGAAATCCGAGTTATAAACTGAATATACCTCCCTTGTAATTATATATTATCTATATGCATAACTTGGAGTATTTATCATGGGTTCTAAGTGCCAGGATAATTTCTATCCATGCAGTTGTACTGTTAAATTCTGCCTACACTACCTACTGATTCACTACAGGATCATCTATCTCTTGTTCTCTTAGCCTTATTGATCAATACAGTCTCCTTAGGCTTACAGTTTGAAATTTGCCACACTCATCAAGAGTCCTCTAGTGCCAGAAGCTATACCTCGGCATCATTGCAGAATAGTGTAGGTTAGATGGGCTTCAGATTGGTTTCACAGGTCGGCGCAACATCGAGGGCCGAAGGGCCTGTACTGCACTGTAATGTTCTATGTTCTATGAATCACACTGGAGTATCCATCATGCACTGACAGTGTTACAGGACTGCGTTAAGGTATTTTTATACTTGCAAAGTACAATTTATGGAGATACTTTTTTTCTTCTGTTCACTGTGCCTCCTAAATATAAGTTGCTCACTTTACAGATGCACCATAACCTAGCCAAGTATTGGTCCAATCGTCCACAATTTCATCAAAGGCTTTTCATGTATAGAATGACAGAGCATCATGCATGTATGTAACATCCTCATACATCCATGATTTGAAAGCACGTCCT